GGTGTCAAGACGATTATCACAAATCCAGCTCCGGATCATCAAGATGCAACTTCTATTGTTGTTTCTGGGCTTATTTCCACAAAGAATGTCGATGATGGAGTTGGGAGCAAAAAATTCTCAAAACCATACCCTAAAAATCTGAATGAATGATATTTATAGGGGTTGGAAAAGTGGACTCGGGCTAAGCACAAATCTAGCTAAGTGCGCTCAGAAAAATAGAGAAAAATCAGAATTTGTTTTTGCCTAACTTGCAAACCGTAACGCCGGTTGACACACGGTTAGAAGCGTTAGAAAACTTATTCAATGATCTATATTACAATGATTAAATAACATGATTTTTCCTTTGATTCCAATACTTCAATTATGCATGAAAACCTACAAAAATAGATTAAAACAATCAAAGTAAAATGATATTTACACGATAGCGCGATATATACAACGATATGTAAACTATACAAAATGTGCACAAAACTAGGAATGAAAAACAAACGAATGAATTCGTTGAGTGCTAATTATTCATACTCAAAATAAAAATAATTTAGCACTTAACAAACTTTCTCCAACTTAAGCTTGTTTGTCTTCAAACAAGAATCAATCAACCTAAAGAGCAAAAGCAATCATTGACAATTCATGCTCAACAAGTTTTTACAAACAAAAACAAATGTATGGTCTAATTATCAAAAGTAAAAACAAAGCAATGCTTATCAATAAACTACAACGACACAACAAATATAAAATAAAGTCTAAGCACAAAACACATGTCAAAAATTCTAAAGCAACAAATTTTCAAAAGTGAATCATACCTAACACACAACTTCATTAAGGGATGAAAAATAAATATGAGGGGTTAAACTCACACCCAACAATCTTGCAAACATAAATTCAAATTATACATTCATCTAAAAAAACTCATATTAAAAGTATAAAAGCAAAATTCACAAGGACTTTAAAGGGTTGTAATGTGGCTTGTGTAACAAGTAATTTTTTCTCTCAAGGTAAATGAAACAAAAACTTGCCTAATCCCATGAGAATGATTACTTCTCATTTTCTCAAGCATTCACAAATTTCCTTCACATTTTTTCTATTTTCTAAATTGTTACACCAATCCACACAACTTATTAGCACAATCTTATTCTATTTATTTTTCTTTTTCAAGTCTTTTTCCTCTTTTCTTTTTCTTTTTCACTTTTTTATATCCTTTTCAAACTTTTTGTTTTTCAACTGCATAACAACCAACATTTTTTTCTTCCCAACTTGAATACAACCAATCATGTAATGTGAATGCTCCCAACTTATTAGGCAAGTGAAAAAATCCAACCACGAATTATGGTTATGGTTTAAGAAAAATATTAGAGTCCATACAAAAATGAGCTCAACACTAACATGGATTCTAACAAAGGCTCAAAGGGGTAAGTAAATTCTCACTCACTCACAAGGTAGATTGATTATTTGGTTAAGTGGTTGTGCTCAAAATCAAACAAAATGCCTTGATCATTTTCATGCTTTCATACAACTCAACACAAATACAAAATTAAACATAATTTAAACGAGTTAAACAAGAAAGTTGGTTTCCATGCACTACGCCAGAAATGACTTTTAGCAGTGCAACAAAAGACAGCGCTTTCTAAGAAAGCGCTGCTAAAGGGTCATGAAAAAAAAACAAAAAAAATAGCATACCTAAGACAACGCTTGTTAAAAAAGCGCTGCTAAAGGGGGGGGGGGTCAAAGAAAGTGCTTTAAAAAAGCGCTGCTAAAGGGGGGGTCTACGAAAGCGCTTTTAAAAAAGCGCTGCTAAAGGGGGTCATAAGGCAGACCTATAGCAGCGCTTTTAAAAGCGCTGCTAAATGCCAAAAAAAGCGCTGCTAAAGGGGGTCCTAAGGCATACCTATAGCAGCGCTTCTAAAAGCGCTGCTAAATGCCAAAAAAAGCGCTGCTAAAGGGGGTCCTAAGGCAGACCTATAGCAGCGCTTTTAAAAGCGCTGCTAAATGCCAAAAAAAGCGCTGCTATAGGTTTAAGTAGCATAAATTTAAAAAATTCCAATATTTTCACAGAATCAGAACAGTCTTCTTCTTTCTTATTTCCACTTGCGAACGTTGCCCTATTCAAAATTAGAACAGTCACCGTCGACGCATTCCGTCCGCGCCTCCGTCCGACAGCCTCCGTCCGTCGTCTTTCCTCCGGTCATTCCGTCGTCACCTCATTCTGCCGCCGTCCGTCCATTGTTACGGTATTTGAAGTTTTTCATTTTGCATTTTTCTGGATTAATGTCTTAGTATTTCATTTTTTTGGATTATATGATGTTAGTGTTACTTCTTTTCTGAGTTTTTGACTTGTTTTTATTGATACCGTTGATGAAAATTACTCGTTTGATATTGGCTTGAGTTTTGTATACAAGGTGTTTGTTGAAATGCCACAATGAATTTACTTATGTTAACTTTCATTATATCTAGCCGTATACAAGGTGTTTGCTGAAATGCCACACCTTATATGAGTTCTTTTTACTAATAATTTTTATAAGGGAAATACTGCACATATATTCAATGATTTTTTAGATTATGTTGCTTTAGAAACTTCACACTATTTGTGATTTAGATGAAAGCTTTAAGTTTCTGTTAATCTTGAAATTTATTTATTTTTCTTAATCCTTATTTTTCTATGAAATAGTCTAAATTCACAAATAATCCTTATTTATTTATTAAATTTTAAAACATAAATATATAGATCCGACAACTTTTTTGAAATAAAGTTTGTTTGGCGAGTTACACAACATTTAGTGAATTCACGTGTCTTCATGAATGTGGATATAGTTTTAGAATGTATAGATCATTCATACAGCTTTATGTTTGTATATGTATAATGATGTTTGATGTTGCAGCATTACATTGTATCAAAATCTATATTTTGAGGGACTATATCTTTCGTCTTCTTCAATTGCAAGTGCCATGATCAATCTTATTCCCGGAGTTACATTTTTAATAGCAGCCTTTGTAGGGTAATTAATAACTAACTTAACTTATATTTGTTAGTCAATCAAAATTCAAACCAATAATAATATGTTTCTTTGAATATTTTACAGAATGGAAAAAGTAAATATTAGAAGTTTGAGAACTATAGCCAAAATTGTGGGGACTTTGATATGTATTTGTGGAGCTTTGTCTATAGTATTGTTGAAGGGTCCAAAACTATTAAATGCAACGATCATACCTTCAAAATCAATCATGGCTGGAAGTGGTACTGATAAGAATTGGTTGCTAGGATGTGTTTTTCTTTTGGCAAGTAGTGTTGCCCGGTCATTTTGGCTAATTTTGCAGGTACTTAATTTCAGTACAATCAAAGTCTTAAATTACGGTCTATGCTTACGCGATTTTAGTCGGCACAGGTGTTAGTGGTTGTTGCGAATGTGAATTAACCATAATTAATTCCTTATCATAAAAACCGTCAATAACAGAATCAATAACAAAATCAATATCGGTACCATCAGAGACTGTTTTTTAAAATCTTAATAATTAATACTTATGATATAACTATTATTCTATAAACATATAACATTTCACCCTTATATATTTTTCAGGTTCCAGTTTACAAAAGTCATCCTAATTATTTATCACTGTCAGCTTGGATGTGTTTCATTTCAACATTACAATCAGCCGTAGTGACAGTATTCTTGGAGCCAGACCTTAATGCATGGAAGATTAATTCTCTACTTCAATTTGGTTCCACTTTATATGCGGTAATTTTTCATGATGATACACACCAATATTTATACATCATAATCCTAGATAATTTGTAATAAATATATTTTGTAGGGAATTATGGGATCAACGGTTATGTTTTGTCTTCAAGCATGGTGCATAACACAGAGAGAACCTCTTTTCTCTGCATTGTTTAGCCCTCTTGTGACAGTGATTGTGACTGTATTGACTGCTTTGGTACTTCATGAGGAAATATATATTGGAAGGTAATGATAATGAAGATTAATTCTATAAATACATATTTAATTATTACTCTGATTAACAGAAACTTCAAATAATGATAAGAACTGAAAATTTCATAGAAATCTAGTACTTAATGATCTACATGGGCCTGTTCAAGTGTCACTACAACAAAAATGACTTTTGGCAACAACTCAAAACCGCAACCTAAAGTGCAATAACCGTAGCCTAAGGCTTTAGGGGACGGTTTATCAGACGTGAAATAAACGGCTGTTGCCTATTCTTTTAGAGCGCGGTTTTTTTATTTTTAACCACGGATTCAAAACACCGCCGCCTAAATCATCAAATTCCACGGTTTTAGTTGTAGTTTTAGGCCGCGGTTTTCTAGTAACAACACAAAATAACCGCCCCCAAAACATGAATATACAACGGTTATGAAAAAACAACAAATGAAAACCGTAGCTAGTTTATAATTTCATTTAAAGAACCGCGCCTAAAACTTAGGAAAAGTCCACGGTTTTTAATAAGCAACCCTTAAAAAGTGTTGCCTATAAATTGAAAAATATTTGATAATTCTAAACTTTGGCTTCGCTTATGAGGATTATAGACACTAATCTTGACATGTAGTTCCCTGATAAGACATATAATAGAAATGAAACATAGGTTAAGGTTAGAAAAGTATATAAAAAAGTTATAATAATTAAGTACCTATTTAAATAATCAAGTTCAATCTCAACTTCAAATTTGAATGTATTTTAATGAAACAGACATCGTTAGTCAATTATTTAACAAGTCTAAATAAAATACAAATAATTCAACTCACTTACGCTCCCAAGTCTAATTCAAGTCATCAAACCAAACTTATTAAACCAGAATTACCCCTACTTATAGTTATCATGTAATTACAACCCCATAGAATTACAACCCTATACATATACACAATAATCAAGTCATGCATATTTATGCACCAAAAGTTACAAAAAGCTTTAAATATAATAAATCAAATTAAATTACAGCTTTAGTTAATGTCTGAGAATAATACTTTCACGAAATATATAAAATGGAAACTAATCCGCTGGCAATTTGTCCTTCAAATATTTCAGAACAGCTTTAGTTCCTTTATTCAAGATAGGCCTCCGAATGCTGAAACAAATAAAGAAACATTGTGATGATTTTATTAACTAAGCTTTCCAGAAGATCTAGCTGATCTATATGTTGTGTTTTTGCTAAATTAGAGAATACAAAATTGACCATGCTTGAGTTCTAAGAAAGGAACATAATCTTTAAAAGTTTACTTATCGACAATGATATTTATGAATCTTTCTGCATTAAGAAATTGTAAATTTTCTAATTTTCTAAAGTGCAAATATATGCAACAGCCTTTTTTACACTTGAGAATCCAAACTATTGTCATGAAAAGTTCTACATTTTGAGAAAGCTCATAGAAAAGCGGGGCAGGAGAAAGTCACCTTCTAAGTGGGTTCCCATCAAGTCTCAATGCCTGAAGAGTTGGTTCTAGCAGACCCTGATTAAAGTAAATGAGTTGAATCAGAGCAAAGTAAACAAGCCTCGACTAATGCAGATAAAAAATGACAGCATTGAGTAGGATAAAATAACTGCCATCTGCTTTTTCTCTTTTTGTTTCTTTTCTTTTCTCGTTTTCAACAGTTTTACACACCAAACATCATTGAGATGTATAGCATAGTACCACCTATTTCTCTAAGTTTAAATTTGTATGAGCATAATAATTTTAGAAAGGAAAAAGAAAAGTTAAATGAGAGAGCAGTGTATGTTTCTCTTACCAGCTCAGGTGGAAGGGCAGAGATGTTGTTATCAGATAGGTCAAGCTCCACTAGAGAGGTGATATTTTTTAGCCCCTGAAAGAAGTTGAAAGGTGACTAGGTGAGCAAAATATAAAAAATCAAAAAGGACCAATGGAAAAAATATACTATCTTAAAAATAGATCATTCATCTATAAGACAGGTTTTATGAGTTGAGATTGCCTCCGTGTGTGAATAACTTAGCCCTCACTAGTCAACTACACATGTAAGTCGTCTTTTTAATCACTAATGTTTAACAAAATATGGTTAGGAATTCAATTGAACTGTGAGATCTTTCTTCAACCAGCATACTATGCAGACAGAAATCCGATTTTATGAATATGCAAATGTAAAAATACATCACCTATCATAGAGAATTACAAAACATGGACATCATTATGACTTGAGAGAAAAATTAGTGGACTCAAGTTACGGTCGAGCCAATATAAGCTTGGATAGGTCTGAATTTTAAGAGGGATATATACAAAATGATGGACCTAAGGTAAACTTAATCTCAAATTAAAATAAAGTTGAAGCATATTATCACAACTTTTCACAGGATCTGAATCAAAGAGGTATATACATGCACAAGCCTAATCCATGTTTTTTATCACCAAAAAGAAAAAGTTACCTCTGGAACCGATTGAAGGGAATTCAGACTCAAGTCAAGGATTCGTAGTTGACGCAATCCCAATATATCTGATGGGACTTCAGTGAGACCCGTTTTTCTGTGGAGTTGTGACATGAAAGTTAATTACAGGTTCTGTCTAGTAATGAACTTGTGTTACCACTTAGATCCAGGATCTGAAGCTTAAGCACCACCATTTCAAAACCATTTGAAGGTATCTATCATTAAAGTGAAATATAAGGTAGGTGATGCCACACTTTTGATTTGAATTTATAACAGAGAATAAAGCATACCGATACATATTTAATATTACCATTACAATTTCTGCACAATAATTTGAGGTATACACTGAGACAAGAGAGATGTTTCTGGAATCTGGAAATGTTACATCTTATACAGCAGAGTATGTGGCATTTATAAGAAAACAAATCTAATGAGTTTTAAGTACTAACAACTAACATTCTAGGCATTGATTACATTTCAATTTCTCTTATTTTTTCCTTTCACTGGGGAGGGGATGAAAGTTGTGAAACATTACCAGTAGAAACAGAGTAGAGCATAAAAACTAGAAGACTAATACATCAATAAAGGAATTAAACTTGCACAACCTATGGTTTATCATTTTCTCTTTTTCCTATAATTTCATTCACTTTCCCTTAATCTATGAGGATAGAGAGAAAACATGAATAACATCAAATGACATCAGAACTTTAGAACTTAAGAATACAACTCATTTCTTCTAACCTAAGACAAAGGAAACCCACAATCTATACCAAACTTACCATTCCCCTTGGAACTGTTCTCCTCATCCTACATACATTCTAGCTCCCATGTTTCACCCGTCCTCCTTCTAACAGACTCTCTCTATTCTGTACCCATTATCATTCTTTATTTTCCTGTATAAGGTGAATACCAATGGCAGAACACTACATAAACTCTAAGAGAAATGCTACCGCCCAAGTTAAATACCAATGCGAAACACTATATAAACTCTAAGAGAAATGCTACCGGCCAAGTAGAATGAGAAACTTACGTTTGAGAGGTGTAAGGATGAGAGAAGGGAGGACGGTTGCCGGCATGAGGGTGAAAATGTTATAGGTCCTCGCTTGTAGGGAGATGAAAAAGTTAGGGTTTCTCAATTTTTAAAAACTATATGGCGCTATTTTTCGGATGAAAAAATTCAATTTTTAGAACAAATTAATTAATTAATAGATATTGAATTAAATTATTACAAACATGGCGTTAATGTTCTGGTGGTAGAGAAGTCTTATTATGTAGTAAGGGATGTGGGTTCAAGTCTTGGCTTTGCAATTTTTTTTAATTAATTTTTCAATCATATTTTCAAGTTTGAGTTAGAGCACTTCAAGAACAGGGGTTCGATCCCCACTATGTACATTTAATTATATACGAATAATTAATATTAAGTCTTAAAAAAACCAGAAATAAAAAATACCACACTTCAAAAGCGTTGCCAAAAAATAATAAGCTACGGTTATACTATAACCACATTTTCAAAACCGTAGCATATAATAAATAAGGGACGGTTTTGAAAAAAAAGCGTCCACACGTAAAAATGCGTAGCCTATGTTACTTATAGAGACGGTTTTACAGTCATTGTCTATTCCTCCGTTGCCTAAAGTCATTTTTGTTGTAGTGTGTATTGTTACTTATCTATTATTGTTTTTGCTTGTGCTGTTGTTAAGATGAATCATGTTCTATTGAATTAAGCTTGGAAGACATTCAATTGAATAATGATACAAAGCTTGAAGAAAACCGTGTATTTGTGGATGATAGTGAACTCCATGCAGTCTCATACAGAATTCAATAGTCAAGTAAAGATTGTTAAGTTTATTTCTTCCTAATGTGACATCTGATATTGTATCTATTTGTAAAGTTATCAGATTTGTAATTATATGTGAATTGATTGTATATGTGATTTTGTTCTGAGGATCGGACTGTGTTGTAATATATTTAAGCAGGTTTATGTGTATAATATTTCAAAGTGATGAATTATAATGTATACTTTAGTTATTGTGTATAATATTGCAAATTGATGAATACACAAAAATAAGGCCAAAATAATTGTTATATATAAGGCCAAACTGTTGAACTAAAGACCTGAATTATAAGCAGGGAATGTATTTGTTATAAGCAGGTTTATTGAAAAATATATAAAAAATGTGATTATTTTTTTAAAAAAAAATTCAAAATCGTGAAGAATAGACAGCGCTTTTAAAAAAAGCGCTGCTAAAGGGGCAAAAAGAGGCATAAAAAAGCGCTGCTATAGGTTGGAAAATGAGGGTCTAAGAAAGCGCTTTAAAAAAGCGTTGCTAAAGGGGGGTCTAAGACAGCGCTTTAAAAAAGCGCTGCTAAAGGGGGGTCTAAGAAAACGCTTTTAAAAAGCGCTGCTAAAGGGGGGAGATGAAGGGGGATTAGGCAGCGGTTATGAAAGCGCTGCTATAGGGTGAAAAAAGCGCTGCTAAAGGTAAAAAAAAAAAAGCGCTGCTAAAGGCAAAAAAAAAGCGCTGTCTTTACCTTTAGCAGCGCCACTTTAGGCAGCGCTTTTAAGCGCTGCTAAAGGCAAAAAAAAGCGTTGCTAAAGGTCTTTTTTGGCATAGTGATGAAATTTAGTAAACAATGGAAGACATCCTCACATTTGGGCTATGAACTATAATGATTCACAAATGAATAAAAATTGCAAGAGAATAAATGACATGTTATTTGTACAAAGCCTAAAGTTCATGTTCATGCTATGTTATAGAAAGCACTAAACATATACCTTGACAATGCAACTTTCTTTAAACTTTTATTACTACCACACATTTTCTTGTTGAAACACTCAAACTTGAACAATCACAAAATGCATCCTCAAGCTAATCAAAAACAAAACTTGAGAACAAACAAAAAATTTCAAAAAACTAAATACTAATTACTAACACATATTAACACAATTTCAAAAATGGGTGAAAGTGGACAAAAAATGAGAGATTTTCCATACAAAGCAGGGCGCGCTAAGCGCCCTCTGTGCGTGCTAAGCGTGAACAGACTTGCTCAGAATTTTCAAAAATGAAACTTATCTTATGCAATCCATCCATTCTCACTCTATACTAACTATACTACTAAATATAAAGTTGTACAAACTCAAAAACCGCTGGGTTGCCTCCCAACAAGCGCTTGTTTCACATCGTTAGCTCAACGCCTTTATTGTGCTTGGCTAGTAACTTCCTCACATACATGCCAATACTTTTCTTCAAAGTGCAAACCTAAAGAAAATGTCCTTACCAAACACTTGAACAAACGTTACTAGAACAAAATATATATAACACTTGAACAAATATAATGGAAAACACATGTACAAACGCTATGGAAAACACATATGTACAAGTTTGTGTGGAAAACAAGTATGGGACATAAGTATAAACAAGTATGGAAAATAATTATATACAAGGATAGAAAACAAAAGAAAAACAAGTATTTGTACAAGCATATATACAATATAGACAATTATGTACAAAACATAGAAATATAGAAATTATCGCAATGCTTTCAATATCTACACCAATCCCCATCAACAACGCCATTTTGTTCAAACTACAATATAACGGCAAGAAGAAAAAGATTTGAAAGAATTTTCTCCGAGTTTTTATCATCTTTACAAGGATCGATGCAAGGGAAAGAATGTCGTTCAACAATCACTATATTTCTAAGCTTGGTTTGAAAGTAAAATGCAAAAAGAAAAACATATGTACAAGTAAAGAATACATTATTTGAGAAAGAGAGAACTCGTCGGGATTGAATTTCATCTACCCATCAAATACTTAAAACTATCGATCAATTGTACGCACTCTACAACACTCATTAATATCATCACGTATCACCTATAACAGAGGTTATGTCTAACGCAAAATTGAGAGAACAACCGTATTGTCTCATCGGTGATGTCCTACGCAACTCAACAACATAGAACATTAAGAATTGATACCCACGTGAATATTAGACCTAAATCTATTTTTAGAGTTTAGAATCTAACATATGTTCATCTTAGATTGAGTTCGAACTATTATGTCTATAGCAATCCAAACCCATTAAGATAAATATTAAAATCAAAGATAACATCGATAAAGATTTGTAAAAGAGATTTTATACAACGATCAATAAATATACATACAATCAATATAAACTTACATACAACACCCCAACAAATAGAGAATACAACGAAAAGAGCGAAACTAAACCGGTGATTCTCGATGTGTCAAGATGATTATCACAAATCCAGCTTCAAATTGTCAAGATGCAGCTTCTATTGTTGTTTTTGGGCTTATTTCCACAAAGAATGTTGGGGATGGAGTTGAGAGCAAAAAATCCCCAAAACCATGTCCTAAAAATCTGAATGAATGGTATTTATAGGGGTTAGAAAAGTGAACGCGGGCTAAGCCCAAAAATCTAGGCTAAGCACAAACTGGGCTAAGCGCGTGCAGAGTGGGCTAAGCGTACTCAGTAAAATTGAGAAAAATCAGAATTTGTTTTCGCCATAACTTGCGAACTATAACTCCGATTCACGCACGGTCAGAAGCGTTGGAAAGCTTATTCAATGTTCTATATTAAAATGACTAAATAATATGCTTTTGCCTTTGATTCCAATACTTAAATTATGCATGAAAATCTATAAAAAGAGATTAAGACAAGCAAAACGAAACAGTATTTATACGATGACACAATATATACAACGATATGTAAACTATACAAAATGTACACAAAAACTGGGGATTATTAACAGGAAAAAAATGAATGAAGTCATTGAGTGCTAATTATTTACACTCAAAATAACAACAATTTAGCACTCAACAATGACAAAGCTTTCAAAAATAATGTAGTTCCTCTTCTTTTCTTTTGTCTTTGTTTTTCGACTTTACTTCGCTATCAGTGAGTCATTTCAGCTCATTCTCATGCTTGACTAATTTTTTAAACAACTTTGTTATATCCAAAGTATTAAGATTCTTAGATTCCTTAATATCAATAACCTTTAGTTTCCACTTCTTGCACATAGATCTCTATATTTTGTTAGTACAATCATTGTTAGAAAAGGTTTTTCCCAAATTGCGTAATTTGTTGATTAA